GCGTACTCAGGGGAGGAGGTGGAGAAGAGGCGGGGCAGGGCTGGGGATTTGAGGTAGGGGTTTGGAATAGGGGCAAGGAGGGGGCGGAGTTGGGATGGGGACTTTGGGGAAGGGTTGGAAGAGAGAGGATGGGGTGGGGCCTCATGGAAGGGATGGAGTGGGGGCGGGGCCGGGGGCAGCGAGGTGTGTGTGTCAGTGATGTGGCCCGTGTGGTCATTTGAGTTTGAGATTCCTGTGTTAGACTGACCTCACACTTAGTTAGGCAACTCATATCTTTTCATGTATTTATACCTGCTCCTCTATTTTCCACTCCATGCATCTGATGAAGTGAGTTCTAGCCCATGAAAGCTTATGCCCAAATAAATTTGTTTGTCTCTAAAGTGCCACAAGGACTCCGTTTTTTTTGCTGATACAGACTAACACGGCTACCTCTCTGAAACCTGATTTAGACAGACATCTAGCAGAGTATTCTGTTTCTGCTGTGACACTGGGATTTTGTAGTCTATTATTATCACTTCTTATTTGTATTATAGAAGTGCATAGGATCCAAGCAAAAACAGGGTCCCACTGTGCTAGCCATTGTACAAATACACTAATAGACAGCCCCTGCCCCAAAGATCTTGTGATTTAAATAGACAGAACAGACAGGATAGGATAAAGGAAAGGGATATAACACAGATATAGTTATTTAATTGGCTTCCATAGTCTTTTTGAGCAAGACCATCCAATAAAATGGCTTCCCTCCCTTCCCCCCCCCCAAGATTAAATATTAGAGTAGAGAAATTTGGGTGTTTTGAGATCTTGAGTTCATTGTAATGGCTGTATCCTGCGTTAATGGCCCCAAGCAGAGGCCAAAGAAAAGGGCTACCGTCAGGCCGCCAGCTTTCAGGTGTTGCAATCAGCAGGTGCCAGCTGGCTGCAGTGTGTGTTTTAATAACCATACAGGAGGGTAATTCATTTCTTCGTGTGTTTGGATTTTATATGGGAGTCACCAGGCTGGGAAATCTTTTAAGATGCCCGTCTGGATCCCAGGTCTGGCTGTCTGACGGGAAAATACAGTTGTCTCAAGGTAGCTTTTGGAGTTCCAGGCAGGTGCACTCTTTCCAAAGTACAGCAGAGGACCCAGCTGGCTGGAGAAGCCAGGAGAACCAGGAGAAGAATTTAGCAGGGTAGGTGGGAAAATACTGACTTTCGATGGCCTTTGCACAGACTTCGAGGTCTGAGGGTCGGTGTTTTATCTTCAGTCTTAGCTGGAATGCCCGTCAGTTTTGTTCAGATCAGCAGCTGTCCTGTAGCAGGGTCAGTTACAGTAAGAGGGGAGGCAGTGTGGTTAGTGGTTACAGCAAAGGTCTGGATGTCAGGAGAATGGGATTCTGATTCCAGTTCTGCTATTAGCGCACTGTGTTATCTTGGTTAAGACCCTTCATCTCTCTGGGCCCCTATTTTCTTTTCTGGAAAACAGGGTTAATGATACTTAGCACTTTGCAAAGGTTGGTTTGAGATCTCAGCTGAAAGTCGTTACAGTAAGTACAAAGTATTCTGTAAATGTCACTTGTCCAGATTCTGACTGTGGTTGCTCCATAAGGCTTGACAACAGGCTTTTCCTAGCGTGCCCCTAAGTTCTCTGCTTTGAAGTGGTTGTTTATTCCTCCTTCATCCTTTTTAATGATACGAGATGTGATCAAGAGGCAGCTAAGACTCAGTTACATAACTTGTTGCTAGGGTTTCTCTTTGGCAGCTCTACCCTGATATCTGTTTGCCTGCTGACTTTCAGGAACGCAGGGTTTTTCTGTTAAGCAGCCAACTCCCAAACCAGCTAACATTCTCCCCCCCACCACCACCACTATTTTAAAATTCTAAATGGGTTTGAGAAAAGTTATTACTCTTGTTGAAGTGAAGGATTGATACCTAAACAGCAGAGTGGACAGGTGTTTAGCAGACTTCCACCTCAAAGGGTTCTGGTTTAATACACCTCAATCCTGATCTCCAACACACCTGCTAAAACAGTCCCGGGGTCCCACAAAGGATTGCCAGTGCATCACAGTCCTGATTTACAGCATTACCTCTTATTCTACTCTAGTCATAGGGCTCCCTACAGCTTTGCCAGAGCAAACAGAAAAATTGTCCTCAGTCCAGCACCATAGTGCCCTCCACAGTAATCAGGACATAATTCTCCTTTCCTCTTTCATGCCCGTCCTACTAATAAAATACTGTGCAAATAAGGGAGGGACCATTGTTTTCTTTGGCAAAAGATGAACGTCTGAGAAAATAGTGAGACAGAGAAGGTGCCAAAGATGTGCCTGCTATGCCAAAGGAGAATGTGTCCCAAGATTGTCTTTAAGCCGCATTGTCTCTGCAAGGCCCCACATTGCAGCCCCATCAGTCTGTCTGTGAGGACTGCATGGAACTCCTTTCAGAGCATGTCATTATTCCTTGATCAGCCAGTGGAAGCTGTTGTTTTGAGTGGTACCAAATTCTTCTCGCCTTCTTGAGACTAAGCATGCTGAATCCAAAGCTCCAGTCCAGGATTTAAACCTGGCAGCGCGGTCATTCAGCCCCGAATACATTTTATTGGTCACAAATTTTCTTCCTGACTGCTGCTATTAGATATGCTTTGCTAGCCTGGATGCAGATGCCAGCACAGTATCGAACTGGTTGTGTCCAACATGTGTGGCCTATACTTATTTTGTATATAATATGTGGTGAATTTATCCTCTTACCTGGAAATCATGTTTGATAAGGGATTACTAGTGGAAGTTGTTGCTTGTGGTCAGAGGCTAGTCTCTTTCAGAACTAGAGATTATTTCCCCCGCCTTGTCTCTCTAATATCCTGGGACCAACCCGGCTACAATAATGAGAAAGTTAACATTTTTATCCAATAGCTGTGCTTATCATCAGCTTTTCCATACTAGCCCAGTCTTCCACCTGAGTTGTTGTTTGCCAGATTTGTTATGTTTTGTGTTTTGGTTCCAAATTATAATTAACTAGTTTTAGTGGCAATTATTGCTTTGGAAGAATCAATTTAAGATGACCATAGATTGGCACCTCTTCAAATTCCCCTGTCTCCATCTGCTGGCAGGGAAGGAGATACTCAGACACCTGGGGCTGATATAAAAATGGCTCACTAGAAATGGGTTTTGACTCTTTAAAATGCATATAAAATGACAGCTTATCAATTATTCTGTCAGCTCGGAAAGCACATTATAAAAATTGCATTTTCTCTGTTGACACTTTAGATTATTAGAACAAAATATTAAAATTATATATTTACTTTCCATAATCGATGCTATTGGTTTAATTTGCACTCTGAACTCAGCCTGGACAATGTAACCTAATATATTTCTGTCAAATCAGCAGTCTCTAATAATTTTCACTTTTTGTCTCTCATGCGCTATAACAAAGCTGCAACATTAAGGTTCCAGACACTGTAGAGGAACATTTAAATCCAACAGAAAAGAAACCAAGCCTGTTTTCACTAGATATTTGACTTAGTTTTAGTGTCGGGTTTAAAGGTTACTTCATTGATCTTACATTTTATTAAACCTAAGTGTCTAGCCTAACTTTTCAAAATCTGTTTCTTTTTGCAAAACCTCAATTTGCGGCCTAAAATTAGTCTGACAACATCACTAACATCCATTAGGCTGGCTTTCTGGGTACGACATCTTTCCCTGGCAAACGATAGACTTGATTTAATGAACCTTTTCCCTCTCTTACATTTTGATTCTGACTCAGCTAAAACGATATTTCAAATGCAGAGAGAAATATCTTTTATTGGACCAACTTCTGTTGAAAGCTCCTCTCTCTGACCCATAGAAGTTGGTCCAATAAAAGATATTACCTCACCCACCTTGTCTTACTTTTTCGTTGGTTTTCTTTACTAGTTCTGATACATAGGACACTTCTGAAGTAGTAGATTTCGTTTTTAAGGGAGGGCTTCACTCCTGATTGTGTCCTCCCATGTTATCCTACCAATCGTATTTAATCTCTTTCAGAATGTGACTGTTTAAATAAATGAAGGTACATTGTCAAGGAGTGGTCATTGGTCACATGTGCATTGTAGGAAAAGTGTGTTCCTGGAGTTGGGTATCTTTATCTTAATAATTACTAGTGTGTTTATTTTGATGTAAAAATCTCCTATTTCAAAAAATTTCATGAACTTGAATGTACTTAGTGTTGCTTATAGAGTTTTTTAAATCTTCCATAAAGGCTGTCAATTATTTGAACTTCCAGTTATGTTGCTTATTCCTCATGTCCTTTCAGTGATGTTCAACTGGTATCTTTTTGTAATAAATTCTCTTGAATCCCAGAAGCTTGCACTGTATACTCCTGGGGGCATTCTGCGCCAAAACATTTAAAATGCTGTGCACAATATTTTAAAATTCTGAAATTTTAGTTGTCAAAATAACACTACCAAAATAATTGAAACTGGCATGATTATGTAG